CACGGTGATCCCATTTTCAAGGTGGGGAATCGACATAGTCGGGGCCCTAGCCATGGGGTCCAGAAAGAAAAAGTACATAATCATTGCAGTGGACTATTTCACTAAATGGGTAGAAGCCGAACCTCTTCCTTGTATCACGGGCACCCTGTGTAAGTAATTCGTGTACACAAACATAATATGCCGTTTTGGAGTTCCAATTTAGATTATTTCCGACAACGGGCGCTACTTCGACAATAGGGAGTTTAAGCAATTTTGTGACCAATGGTGTATCAACCATTGTCGTGTGGCGGTAGCTTACCCGCAAGCGAACGGGCAAGTGGAGAATGTTAACCGGACCATAGTGGATGGTCTGGAAAAGAACATAAAAGCAGCTGGAGGAGCTTGGGTGGAGGAGCTAGATGCTATCTTATGGGCATATCGCACCACCCAAGGAAGGCCACAAGTGAAACCCCCTTCGCATTGTCTTACGGCTTTGAAGCCAGTGGCCCTACCAAGGTGGTAATACCATCCCGCCGAGTCGAGGAATATGACTGTAACACCCCGTGTTACGGCCCCTAAAACCAATTAATCACTTAACCAATTATCCAAAGAAAGAATTAAATTACAATAATTAATTAGGAAAAGGCCCACCATAGTCCGTGGGCCCTCATCTCTAAAAACCAAACCCCTAGTCCTAAAAGGAATAGAGTTAGCAAGCCTATAGTAATTGGGCCCTAATTAGGACTCTTAGATATATAAATAGGGGACATAGGAGGCACCTAGAACCCCCCCACCACAATAATCTCTCACCACACAAGGAATTCCAAGAATTCCCCTAGGAGAAATCAAGAAAGAAGAAAGACTTAGAGAAAGACCCTTTATAGCCAAGGAAATCAACTAAGGCTAAGAGGTAACCCATGTCTCAACAAAACCTATTTTCTTAGCTATGATCTCCCTCTAGGCATCCCTCTACATTCTTGTGTATTGATGATTCGTCTATGATATTGATGGTGTGATCTTGATAATTGATGTTATGATTTCTTAGGTAATCTTGATAATCTTGATGATGGAAAGAGATTCTTGATGATTGAGTGATATTCTTGATAAACCTAGATTCCTAATGATTGTGTGATGTTCTTGATAAATTGGATTGGTTCTTGATGATTAAAGGATGAATTACGTTCTTGATGATTTAAATATAATTAGAGCCCTAGGATGTATCGTGAAACTCGTGTGGTGTTATTCTTGATATATTGGGTGGGAATTCGCATGTTTGGGTGTTAATTATGTTTAGAAAGCATGATAGGATATGTGCCGTATGTTTCTTGCTTTTGATCCGTTAATTGTCTACGTGTTGTCATCAATTGCGTTTAAAGGTGTCTAAGCATGGTTTCGGGTTCCACACAGGTTCCCGGGGCGTTACTTGTGAAAAAGAGTCAGTGGGCGGGTAGGTGGGGGTAGGGGACCCGCCATCTACCCGCGGCCAGAATGAACGTCGCCGGCAGCTGGCAGCCGGCGGGCAGGCGACTGCCCACCGGGCACCCGCTGCTCGGAGACTTGTCGCCGGCGGGCAGCCGACGGGTGGCCCTCCACCCACCGGCTACCCGCTGGAAATTTTCCCACCTCGGGATCCAGGCTTCCCCGTTTGATGTTTCCCCAACCCCCGTGGTGTCCCAACGGACCCCGTTTATCGTGCCTAATGTCTAGTTTGATGTTTCGGGTGCCATTCGTAGGATAAACGAGTCTTATATATGTATATATGTTGCATGCTAGTGGAATTGGTATCCCGTTGGCCTAGGTGAAAGGAGTATGAACCCCTTAGGATTGTTCCTAGTATGTGGATGACCACGCATAGGTTTCGTTATACGTTTTCTCCCCTTATCCCAATGTGTTAATGTGGGTTGCATGTGCTTGCTATGTGTTATGTGTGCATGATACCCCAATTTGGTTGCGATCAAACGTTTTACATGAGCTGCGGTTCATATTCCTGGCTGCGGTCAGATGACTATTCTTGGGCTGCGGTCCACTGTTTGGTTGCGATCAAACATTATGATGAGCTGCGGTTCATCGGTCGGTTGCGATCGACCCCTCCGTGTTGCGATATGGGGCAGTGTGCTGCGGGGCCGTGTCAGAGCTATATACGCTGACCCTCATGTATGGGCATGCGATTGGTCCTGTGGCGCCATCAAAGTGTGCTATGTGACGAGATATGGATGGTTTGATGTTACGAAGGTTATGAAAGTGTGACCATAGGATACATGCTAGTAAACCGTATATGCTTGGTTATGACTATTGGCTATGCTTATCTCTATCTGTCGATGCTTGTGAATTATATGACTGTTGACTGTGCTTATCCCTATCTGTCGAGTCTATTCCCTGTTTTAAAAGCTAGAGTCTCTTAGGATATATCTTCATGCTTCGAAATGGTTTTTCTTATATCTATATATATGCCTATATGTATTGTATTTCAACGCGTTGGAGTGGGTTACCAGCATCTCTCGCTGAACAGATATATTTGGCTTTCAGGCACAGAGGAGTAGACACTGGAGCGCGCTAGAGTCTTGGAGCGTAGAAGTAGATAGTTTCCCTTTCGGCCTGCGTGCCACGCTTATGCATTTACATTATTGATGATATTAGTTAGTTAGCCTGTGCACCTGAGTTCTCTAGCTCAGGTGTGGCATAGCACCCCGTACTCTTTATATTATGTTTTGGGATTTAATGAGAATTTACCTTTATTATATAAGTCTTAAAAGTTGAAAAATTTCGGGGTGATACAATGACCCTGACCTCATCAACGGGCACCATAGAGCCGACCTCCACCTCATCGACGATAAGAGGTAGGGCGCCATGGTCCATGCGGAGAATTATCAACGCCAACTCAAGGTATACCACGACAAGCAAGTCCGACCCCGACACTTCCAGGTCGACGACTACGTCCTTAGGAGGCGAGAAGCAAGTCGACCTCAAGATGGGGTAAGTTTTCAAAAATATTGGAAGGTCCGTATGTAGTTACAACCGTGGTCTATCCCAATAGCTACAAATTGAAGACACAGAAAGGCAAAGTGATAGAGAAGGTGTGGAACTCAGAACACTTGCTCTGATACTACCAGTAACATAACTTTGTAAGGTGGTCTGACCCCTTAAGGCTTATTTTATTTTCGTAATAAGCTTATTTTATTTTCGTAATAAAGTAGCAAAATATCACTAAGTACTTGTTTTACTACTATTTGAAAGGGGGAGAGTGGGAGGTTGGGCCCAATAAAAATCCGGCCAACCTCACGGTCGCGGTCTAGGCTGACCTCTTGGGTTCAAAGTCGAATGACTTCGGCCTAAAATCACTAATGCCCTAGGGACGATATGAGGTCCGACCTCGCTCATCGTCGAATGGAAGAGCTTTTGGGTCTGAAGTCGAATGACTTCGACCTAAAACCGCTAAAGCCCTAGGGGCGATACGAGGTCCGACCTCGCCTATCGTCGAACGAAAGAGCTTTTGGGTCTAAAGTCAAATGACTTCGACCTAAAACCGCTAATGCCCAAGGGGCGATACAAGTTCTGACCTTGCCTACCGCCGAACGGAAGAGCTTTTGGGTCCAAAGTCGAATGACTTCGACTTAAAACCGCTATACCCTATGGGCGATATGAGATCCGGCCTCGCCTATCGCTGAACGGATGAGCTACGGGTCAAAGGCATGAGTACTTCGACCTAATGGCTAAGCACGAAAAACAAGCAAATAAGCACAACACATAAAAAAAAGGTGAAAAACAAACACACAACAAATATGTTCGAGGAGGTCGGCCCGACCTCCCAAACCGTCCTATTGGTCGCCGAGCTCGGCCAAACCTCTAAGCCGACCCCTTTGACAATTTTTTGCCGGCCTCTACGGCAAGATTTAATTTGGGAGTCTAACTTAAGTGTTTGAACGGTGCTAAGGACCCTATTTACACCTTAGCAAGGCTCCCCACCTTAAATTCTAAGTCCAATTGATGCTAGTAGCTCAAGATTGCGCAAGGTTTTTGACCCCGAAGTCGAGCTAGGATGATGTAAAGAGTTATAGACCTCAAGTATCATTCATGTAAGGAAAATAGGCATATCAAAAACAAAAGGAGGAAATCATAAATAAACCATCAATGTCATTGACCAAAAGAAGTAGTTTGAGCAAAATAGAATAAGATGTTTGCGCAACATGATAAGCAAAAATCATCAAGTATTTAACGTGCACAATCAAGCAAAGAAAAGCTAAAGCGACTAAGTCTTACGAGGTGAGCCCACACCCCCCCCCCTTCCTAGGCCGTCTGAACGGGGTCATCCACGTCAAACGGCCCAATATGAATCTGGTCCAAAGGGGTGTCAGTCTAGGGGCCATGCAAGAGGTCTGGAAGCAAGTCCGCACAGAAAAGAAGACCGGTGGCCAAGTTGCAAGGTGAGGTCGGACGAGTCCTAGCGTCTACTTCCTCCATAGGTTAGGTGGGAAGCTCGGGGTTCGCAAGCTCGGCGGGAAGACCCCATGCCTCGTGGTCAAAAGTCTCATCCCTCCGGTGGAGAATAGAGTAGATCTCGTGCTACATAATGTGTTCCACCACATCATATATCATCATCCCCTCTAAGACTACACACTTCTTCCCAGCGGTGGGGACCGTCAGGTTCACAAAGACCTCCTCCACGTACTCATCAATGTATGTTTTCACGTCCTTCTTGAAGGCCTTGGAGCTCTAGTAGCGCAACAACATCACGGTAAGGGCTTCCTCATGCGCCTTATGATCTCGGACACGTAAAGCAGCTAGTTGGGCATACTTGTTCTCCCAGTCCTTACATGTCGCCCTCAGCTCCTATAGCCTGGACTCCACCTCCAGGCAAGCTTTCGTCTCGGTCTCCAGACGAGCCTGAATGGTCCCCAAAACTCTCCCATGGCAACGCAGCGAATGAAGGCTTGCATAAAGTCACAAGGTGAGAAACATGGTTAAGTAGTAATGTCAAACCACAAGGAAGCACATACATCTAGTATGGGGCGGAAATCAGCATGGCCCTCGCACAAGTTCGCATCTCGAGATAGGAGAAAGCTCCGTGCTATGGCCTTGGTGGGAAGGTCCCCACTAATGAGTGAAGTTGAGGGAGGAAGGTCGACGGACCATCTCAGCGGCGCGGTCTGAGCAGGCGGCGGTGGGACTAGAGCTGGAGGCCTGAGGTCAGTCATATTGGAGGCCGACCTCGGCCTTATGTCTCGACTATGCAAGGAGGGGACCGAGTCGCTGGAGGAGCTCGGCTAGTCTTGCCTGTGACACCCCGAAATCCAAATTCAATTAAGGGATTAATTAAGTAATTAATCCTATTTCAATTTGTAATTTAATTCCTTAAATTCCTGAAATTCAATAGTCGGGGACTAGTAATTGACTAGTCAACCCCATAGTCAAAGTTGTACCTTGAGCTTTGCAAGGAGTTCCCTTGTTTCCTTACACCTCTTCATGTTAGTAAGGGTATTCTTGACCTTTCACCTTGTGTTAGTATTGTAAGCTAACCTAATAAGAACACCCTCATTTCTTTCCTTACACTTTCCAAATTTTAGCTCCACCTTCTCTTTAAAAACGTAGATAGCTTTTCTTCCAAGCCAAGATTGAAGCCTTGCCAAAACTTCAAGAGTTGTCTCCAAGATTCTACCTTTCATACATTTGGGCATCTAGGAGGGTAAGATCCATGTTCATCTTGTGTTTTTAGTGTTTTCTTAGGTGTCTTTTATTAAAGATAGAATCTTTATGATCTTTTGGTGTGTTCTTGAAGTGGGTTTGGAAGGTGAGCTTTGTTAGGAGCTTGGTGAGGTGTTAAGAGAAGGTTTTTGTCTTCAAGAGGTAACCCATGCTCGACAAAATCTATTTTGCTTACCTATATGAATATTTCTTGGATTCTACATGTGTTTTGCTATGAAATGTGAGTGTTTATGCATTGTCTTCTAAAAATGCATATCTAGAGCTTGTGTTTAGGGTTCTTGTATGTCATTGCTTGGCTATTCCTTTGATTCAAGTCATTTTGTTGTATTTGGTAAGATTTGGCATGTTTTAGACTTGAATTTGAGTTTGGAGATGAAAATCCCTGAAGAGATTTATTTTGGTACAGGTGTGTACCCGTAGGCGGAACGGCGGGTAGGAGGTCCACCCGTCGCCCACCCGCGGGGTACAGGTTGCTTGTGGGTTATGTATCCGCGGGTGGAACCGCGGGTAGGGGCCTACCCGTGGGTCCACCCGCGGGGTACCATATGTGGTTGTTGGGGGATTTGTTTCCCGTGATTCTTTTGACTCGGTATTTGGTCTTTTGACTTCCCGATGTTCTTTTGTGGAACTATTTGAGCGTCTTCTTGATGTTTCGTATGTCTAGAACTATATGGTAGGAATCCATGTAGGTCTTTGGTGTCTTGAATCGTGCTAATTGTTCAACATTGTGTTTCGTTGAACCGTGATGGGTCTTGTGTGTTCTTCGGAACTACGTTTGGTTTACCCGTTTGATAAGCATGCTAGTTCGGTGTTTAAATGCTAGCGTGTGTGTTGTTCGTACCTTCTTATGGGTTGATGATAACTTGTGTTATTCATCGTTGTTGTTGTTGGACTGTGATCCATTCCTTGATTGAGTATGGTTTCATATCTCCGTTGTGATCCGTTGATTGATTCCTGTTGTGGTGTGATGTGTGTGTGGCTTTACCTGGATTGCACGATTAGTGGTATGGGAACTAGTCACCAAGGTATTGCAGTGGTCCTCGTGGTGGCCATGACGTGATTATGGAGTTGTGACCTTTGTGTAAGGTTCACGTGTTTATGGGAGAAGCATGTGTTGCCGAGGCATGTGTTGCCGTGTGTGTGATCGGTACCCTCGTGTACTATGAAATTGGTGGTTCTGTTGGAGGGACTGTTTGAGGGGGAACTACGATTCCCAGAGGAATAAGGTTGGACTTGGTGTACAGGGGTCCTGGAGGTAAAGGTTGGAACTAGACATAAGGTTGGGGGTAGCCATAAGGTTGGAACCGGGCATAAGGAAGGCATATCAACTCGTGATGGGTGATGTCACGAGGGCTTGTGTAGCCATTATTGTGACTTCTCTTCTTGTGACGTGTGTAGTCACAAAGGAATGTGTTGCCATTTGTTGTGTCTTTATTCCTTTGAGTTATGCATGTCTGGTATTAATCTATTGTGTGATGATAGATTATACCTTGAGACTTCTTGTGTGTCGTTGTTGTTCTTTGTAGCCTTGGGATGTGTTCCCGTGTTCTTGTTGAGAGTGTTGAGTCTTGTGTTGACTATTACTCTTGGTTTTGGACTTATATATATGTATTCCGTTTCGAAAATGGCTTTACAAACTTATACCTTATCTATGTATGATATTTCACATGTATTGGTGTGTTACCAGCATTATTCACTGACCGGGCGTCGTCCCATGTTTTATATGCTTCTTTCAGGTGATGCTTAGACGAGTGCGTGGTTTAGTGCCAGCAAGTATAGCTCCCCTCTTATGTTTTGTGGTCTGTGAGCCAATCTAGATTT